AGATGTCCCTCTCGCAAACGAAACGCTGCCACGTGCACGGGACATTGGAGGCAGTAGACTCGTCGGCCAATGCACCCGAAGATTATCTCTCTTGCGAGCCCCATCTCGTAGATTAGATTTGCTGTTCCATTACCCGCATCCCTGCCAAGGAGTTGGCTGGGGGGGGGGGGGGGGGGGAGCGGTGGTACAGCAGTGGCGTAGCGACGCACGAAGCATCACGCAGCCTGAGTTTGCCTTCCCGGCTACGGCGAACATCGGTCGTCGAGTGAAATATACATCGGTCTTCCATTCATTCTATCCGCCCAACTATCCCACACACTCCCACCCTTGACCCCCTCCACCCAACTGTCCTCGCCTCCATCCCCCTCCACTTTCATCAACTCGCACTCACCGGCGCGGACGAAATAACTCCAAACAATCTCTCTCAATAATGACAAAAGGCCGTAAATTATTCATCGTATTATTATTATATAACCTGCCGAGTAGCCAGAATGCCATCATTTTGTCCGACCGTCATCATCATCGTCGTCGTCGTCGTCATTATATATGTATTATTGTCCTTGTGAACTCAGTCAATTGAAGGTGGCTGTCATCTCTGTCTACGCACAATAAAACAGACAAAGATCCCCGGAAGGCACCAGCATGACTTTTGGGGCAAGTGCTCTTAACGAGTAGCACCTATGAAGGCCGATACGCTACGCACGACAGGGTAGGTGGCCAGCACCACGCCCCGGCCGCCTTTGTCTCCCCCCAGTGGCCAAGGTTAACACAGCGCACCAGGTTGCTCATTTGAGACCGAGTCGACCTAGCGGAGGTCCAGGGCCGGTTCAGATATAATCGCCACCGGTGTTGATTGGCCGTGACTGGGAATGGAACTCGGGTCACCGGGGTTCGTAGCGCAGCGACCTAACCACTGCGCCACCGCTCCCACCACAGACACAAAGACAGGATTTGAGAAAATCCTCCTTATAGCCTTCACATCATTTTGGGGCAAGCGCTGTTAGCGAGCACCACAAAGACAAAGACCCCCCTATAGCCTTCACAGACTGTAGGGGCAAGTGCTGTTAGCGAGCACCTATGAAGGCCGGCAGGGCACACGAGGGGGTGGGTGGCCAGCACCACGCCCGACCGCCTTTGTCTCCCCAGTGGCGATGTTTACACACCGCACTAGGTACTCATTTAAGGCTGAGTCGACCTAGGGGAGGCCCGGAAACCCGTGTCGCCAGGTTCATAGCGCAGCGGGCTAACCACTACACTACCACACACGCACGCACGCGCACACAAACGCACTCACCTCTGAAATACATTAATACTAGCTCTACCACTATCTTATTCTGTCTTCAAAGCCGCGCCGCTCAGTGGGAGAAAACATATAATATAAACTTGATTTGGCGCTTTCGTGACTGCATATATAATATAAAAAAACAAAAAAATAAAATATAAAAACGCGCGCGCGTTCATGATCAAGGTGTGGCGATCCCTTTGGGGGCGGGGGAGAAGACGCGAATCTTTTGGTAAATAAAAAAAAATCAGTTCCATCTCTGTCTCGTTCTCTCTCTCCGCCGCATAATCATCATCATCATTATAAAAAAAAAACCCCAACAGTGATCGATTCACGAGGCTCACGGGAGAAGTCTCACAGTGGCCGTGTCTCGCACAAGATGGCCCGAGATCCCACCCGAACCGCGGAATGCGATCGGATCCTCCAGTCGGAACGATTGAGTGATGGTGATGGTCGCAGCCCGGACTTTAATGACACTAAATGAAAAAGAAAAATCACGATTGAACGTGGATTTTTCCTGTGTCCCATCACCATCATCAACATGGTCATGATGATGATGATGATACACCTCCCATTAGCACGGCTGGTTACGTACACAACCCAAACGATAACAACATCATCATGGGATCTCCTTTGCCAGTACCAAAATATGGTGCTCTTCTCTCCCTCACACCAACGCTAATCCCCCAGTTACATGCTAATTTATATGTAAACTCCTCTCCCCCCGTCCCCCGGTCCGAGCTCGTCGTTCGCCGTGGTGCTAATCCCTCACACCAACATCATGCTGATCCCCCAGTTACATGCTAATTTATATGTAAACTCCCTCTCCCCCCTCCTCCAGTCGCCAGCTCGTTCGCTCTCCGTAATGCTAATCTCCCAGTTACATGCTCCTTTGTCCAGGCTCTCTGTTCCTCCCACACAGCTTGAAAGACGCTGTCAAGCTTGACAGGGTTCACTCACGCGCTGTCTTCTGGGACAGTCCTGTTTCTTCACCTGAGGACGGCTACTTGTGTTGTGGCCGAAACGTCTCGTGAGAATTTCATTGTTTTATTTTATTATTTTATTCTCATTCTACGTGGTGACTTTACCGAAAGAACCAAAGAATATGAGAATAGGGTTTCCCCTTTTTTTCTGGCAACAAAACAGCTGTTAAGATGTTAAAACACCAAACTGAAACCTTTTACAAGGAATCATGTGTGCATTAACCACGTGTGCGCAGACGCGTGCACGTGTATCCCAGTAATAGTGGGAATATAAATGCATTGCTACAGAGAGGATGCTGCTGCCGCATCGAAGCTGCGCCCACAGAGTGACCAACGTAGAACTAAGAAAGAAAAGTTGCACAATGAAGAGAAGACGACCCCGATGATGCAGGAAGTGATGCGAAGGAAACTATTTGGACGCATTTGTAGGATGGACTACAACAGGAACATGTTGTTGTTGTTGTTCGGAAAAACGTAAGGAGCCGGAAAGAGAGGAAGACCTCACAGAGAACGTCTTGAAGACGACAAGAAGAGATTGCTGCCAGAAACGATGCGGCAACAACTTGAGCGAATCGGCACGGCGCTGAGCAAAGTGGAGACAAATGAGGAACAGTGCAGTGGACACCTACGGGCTATTTGCCCATGGATCGTGGTGGTGGTGGTGGTGGTGATGACGGGTACGTTATTTATGCCGATATCTAAGAGCAGGGAAATCAAAGCAGGCGTCTCTTCCGCGACCTTCACGAGCTCCGTCTGGGAACGCCGCGTCTCCGGAAGCAGCACCCATCGCAGAAGCCACGGCGGGAGTCGTTTATCCACAATGCTGGCCCGCTAGCTCTTTCACTCCTCCACCCACTTTAAAGCTCACTCAACTCGCCCGCCCAACAACTCGCCCGCCCACCAACTCGCCCGCTCACCAACTCGCTCGCTAACTCGCCCGCCCACCAACTCGCCCGCCCACCAACTCGCCCGCCCACCAACTCGCTCGCTAACTCGCCCGCCCACCAACTCGCCCGCTCACCAACTCGCTCACTCACTCGTTCATTAACTCTCTCGCTCCCTTGCTCGCTCACTCGCTCGCTCGCTCGTTCGCTAACACGCTCGCATGCGGCGCAGCTGTTCCCGATGTCACCTCATTACTCCCGTCGGCTCTTCCCTGCGGGTGGAAAGCACGCCGCCTAAATATTTCATTTCGTTTCATATTTCCATCGACATTTCTTTTATTCTCACCGCACCGGGCGATGCGTGCCGCACGGCGGTACGGGGACGTTCGGCACCCGAGTTCGATACCCGGCGGGGGCTGACTCACATCGGCGCAGGAATCGAATCTGTAAATGATGGAGGGGGGGGTGGGGGGAAACATATCCCGTCGCTCAGAATGTGTTATTAATGCTGACCCCTAGACCAGAGAACACCACAACGCAGTGCTTCAGGGACTGCTGGTGTGTGTGTTGGAACTTCTTTCACACCGCACGTAGCCAACCGCGCTAGTCGGAGGTGCGGGGGAAGGACAACAAACTAAAGACACCAAGTCCGTGTGTCGCTTCACCACACGCCCCTCCGTGCTGCTGCTGCTGCTCTGCGCGTTGCTGTTGCGTCTTGTTGCGAACCTCATCGCCGGAGGAGCCAGGGCCGTGCCCGACGATTTGATCGCCGACCCGATTTAACTCGGCTGGAGACGGAACGGCAGGGGTATGTGGGGAAGAGCCTCAGCCTCTTGCTCTCACGTGTGCCGCTGGACGGGTGGTGACGGGCATGGGTGTGGTGACGTCATCGGCATAATTTGCCGCGTTACGTCGGGCGTGGCTTGACAGCGGAGGGGGTTTCCTGACTTCGGGAGGCGGGGTGTCGGGGTGACCTCCGTTTTAATTTTTTACGGGGGGGGGTACAGATGGGGTGGGGGGGGGCTGAGAAATGGACTCATTTGTTGCATCCGTCCCAAATCGACGCGTCATTTTCATTCCTTGCATTCGCGATTGACCGAAATCCACTCATCCATTCCATTCGACCCATCCTGCCCATTCGTGAATGAACGGAATGGAACGAATGAAGGAACACACGAGCTGAACTCGCGACCGACCAGTGGTGCTGCACGCAGAGAAGCTGCGCCTGGACAACATCCACGTGACCAAATCGACCCATCCCTTCCATTCAACCCATCCGGTTCCATTCGACCCATCCGGTTGCATTCAACCCATCCGGTTCCATTCGACCCATCCGGTTCCATTCGCCCCATTGCTTCCAGTCGACCCATCCGGTTGCATTCAACCCATCTGGTTCCATTCGCCCCATTGCTTCCAGTCAACCCATCCGGTTGCATTCAACCCATCCGGTTCCAGTCGACCCATCCGGTTGCATTCAACCCATCCGGTTCCATTCGACCCATCCGGTTCCATTCGCCCCATTGCTTCCAGTCGACCCATCCGGTTGCATTCAACCCATCTGGTTCCATTCGCCCCATTGCTTCCAGTCAACCCATCCGGTTGCATTCAACCCATCCGGTTGCATTCGCCCCATCCGGTTCAATTCGCCCCATTGCTTCCAGTCGACCCATCCGGTTGCATTCAACCCATCTGGTTCAATTCGCCCCATTGCTTCCAGTCGACCCATCCGGTTCCATTCGACCCATCCGGTTCCATCCGACCCATCCGGTCCATTCGCAAACCAACGGAATTGGTGACGAGCGACGAACGAACTCGCTGAACTCGCGACCGTGTCCGTGGTGCCGCCCGCAGAGAAGCCGCGCCTGGACAACATCCACGTGACTGCCGCCCTCATGACGCCGCTGGCGCCGTCGCACTCACACCCTCACCTCCTGTACCTCTCCGAGGCCTACGGCGTCGCTCCGGGCTCCAAGCCGCACGTGGCGCAGTTCAACTCGCTCAAGCGCCTCGGTGGGTCTCTCACGCCGGGGTGCGCGCACCGGTGGAAAAAAGACACAACCGTGCCGTGCCGTGCAGGCCTCCAGCGTGCGTCGCTGGTACGGGCTGGCAACGTGGCATTTATATCGGTTGAACACGCCAGGCTTTGCGCCGCCAATATGATTATCGATGATAATGTTCCCAGATGAAAATAATCTATTGGAATTTATATGACTACAGTAACCCCCGGCTCCTCTTACTCTGTTCTTCGCACCTGGTAGGCTTAAGAGTGATGGCATCACCTTTGCTCGATGTAATACCGTAACAGGAAGACTTCTTCACACTTGTGGCAAGCCACCCGATGAAGCTGGTTGTAATCTCCAGCGAAACGTCGTACTCAAATTTGAGATGTGGGTTTAGTCTCCAACACACCGGTGTGCTGGAAGCAGTAACTAATTGACACGCTTCGTTCACGTGACAAACCTCACTAATTGTCTGCGTCGAGTGGTGGCGGTTTAACGACGCGTTTATATTTACGTGACCTAACCCAAAAAACCCTTTATTGTGATGCTTATATACCAGTCAGGTGCACGCATCGCATCAGCCCGTGCCGGGCACCAGAAGACGATGAGTGGTAGCAAGAAGGCACGGTTAGCACCATGCCATGTGGTGCCAGCCGGCAGACACGGTGGCACTAACACGTGACCCCAGCAGACGCGTCGTGTGGCACCAGCAGACGCCTTAGCACCATGCCATGTGGTGCCAGCAGGCAGACACGGTGGCACTAACACGTGACCCCAGCAGACGCGTCGTGTGGCACCAGCAGACACCTTAGCACCATGCCATGTGGTGCCAGCAGGCAGACACGGTGGCACTAACACGTGACCCCAGCAGACGCGTGTGGCGCCTTAGCATCATGCCATGTGGTGCCCAGCAGGCAGGCAAACAGACACACGTGGGTCTTTAACGTCCGGGTAAGACTGTCAGATTCACCCGGGACAGCAGCTGGCAGCCCCCCTCGGCCCAAGACGACGACACCGCAAACACCGGGCCAGGTGGCAACAACCCGAGGCGGAGTTCCGCAGATTAAATGTAAAAAGCTCCCTCCACGCCATTGCGCGGCCAACAGCGATTATTATTAATAATGATGATGATGATGAAATATTCTATGGGTCTTTCGGTAAAGCCACGATCGCAACACAAGCAACCGTCTTCAGGTGACAATTGCTTTGTTGCGATCGAAACGTCGTGATATTTTTTATTAATTTTTTTCTATCTACGTGGCTTTACCGAAAGACCCATAGAATATGTATTCCTAAAGTCACGAAAGCCTTACGTCAAGATTTAATGATGACAATTGAAGCGCCCTTTTATTTTCAGATGGGCAGAAAGTAAAAATAAATATATGAATGCGTTATTATTAATATTAATTAATGGTATTAATAATAAACATACATATTATATTAAAGCAGTCTGCCTCAGCAGCAGACCATGCTTTCCCACCTGATGATGGACGCTTGTGTTCCGCCCGAAACGTCGTGATTTATTTTATTTTATACCTACGTGACTTTACGGAAAGAACCAAAGAGTATCATACATATTAATGAATGGATTATACCAATAAAGCATATACATTAATTTGATTATTAATAGCAACCATACATATTAAATAATCATACCTTTAATATTTTTTTTCCTTCCTGAAAATAGCAGGGCGCTTTAATTTTCATCGTTGCAACAACAACCCCCCCACACACACACAGGGAGGCATTCGCACGATGCCATGGCAACCCTCCTACCACCTGCTCTACCACATCCTGTACCACCTCCTGTACCACCTCCCCCACCACCTCCTCTACCACCTCCCCCACCACCTCCTTTACCACCTCCTCTACCACCTCCTCTACCACCTCCTATACCACCTCCCCCACCACCTCCTCTACCACGTCCTCTACCACCTCCCCCACCACCTCCTCTACCACCTCCTTTACCACCTCCTCTACCACCTCCTCTACCACCTCCCCCACCACCTCCTCTACCACCTCCTCTACCACCTCCCCCACCACCTCCTCTACCACCTCCTATACCACCTCCCCCACCACCTCCTCTACCACCTCCTCTACCACCTCCCCCTCCACCTCCTCTACCACCTCCTCTACCACCTCCCCCACCACCTCCTCTACCACCTCCTCTACCACCTCCCCCACCACCTCCTCTACCACCTCCTCTACCACCTCCCCCACCACCTCCTCTACCACCTCCTCTACCACCTCCTCTACCACCTCCCCCACCACCTCCTCTACCACCTCCTATACCACCTCCCCCACCACCTCCTCTACCACGTCCTCTACCACCTCCCCCACCACCTCCTATACCACCTCCTCTACCACCTCCTCTACCACCTCCCCCACCACCTCCTCTACCACCTCCTCTACCACCTCCCCCACCACCTCCTCTACCACCTCCTCTACCACCTCCCCCTCCACCTCCTCTACCACCTCCCCCACCACCTCCTCTACCACCTCGACAACCTCCCTCACCACCCGCGTCTCACCACTTCTAATTCAACTCCTCCACCTCCTCCACTGCGCTCTCTCACCCCCCCCCCCCCGTCCCTCCACCTACACCCCCCGTCCCCGTAGCCGAGAAGGAGATGAGCGACTACTACTCGCGTAAGCGGCACCTGGCCGAGCTGGCGAGCGGCACGCTGCCTCTGCATCTCGCCCTCACTCCGCCGCTGCCCAGCTCCGCGCCCTCCTCCTCCTCCGGCGGCGGCGGCGTCGGCGGCGGCGTCGTGGGTCCCACGGCGGCGGTGTCGTCGCTGTCCCACCGGCCCAGCCCCGAGCCCGGGCCGCGCTCCGCGTCCGACGAGTGGGCGCGAGACTGGAAGCGCGCCGCGGCCGCCGCGGCGGCCGCGGCGGCGGCGGCGGCGGCCTCGTCTTCGGCGGCGCCGGTGGACCGCGACGCGAGGGGCGAGCACCACCGCTGCTTCCGCGCCTACGGATCGACGCCGGTACTCGACGAGTCGGCGTACGGCGGCGCCGGCGGCGAGGTGACGCTCTCCGTGTCGGCGGCCCTCGTCGACTCGGACGAGGGCGAGCGCGGCATGGTGATGGTGGTGGGCGGCGGCGGGATGGGGGGAGCGTTGCCGGCGCCGTCCGTCGCCGCGAGCGTCTCGACGGGCGCGACGCCGCAGTCGTTCCGGCACCGGCACCACCAGCAGCACACGTGGAGGAGCGGCTCCGAGAAGGTTCGCGTGCGCGCGCGCGTGTTGCGTCGGCTCAGCCTCAAATGAGTACCTTGCGCGGTGTGTAAACATCGCCACGAGGGAGACAAAGGCGGCCGGGCGTGGTGCTGGCCTCCCAACCCCTCGTGTGCCCTGCCGGCCTTCATAGATGCTCGTTAACAGCACTTGCCCCGACAGTCTGTTCAGGCTATATGGGGGATCTTTGTCTTTGTGTGTTATATGTGTGGAGGAGACTCGCGTAGGACGCTGCTTCTGGTTAATTGCATGCAGTCGCCCTCCAGCAGCAACGGAGGGCAGAGGAGCGACGCTCACAACAACGAGCGGAGGCGCCGGGCGGCTAAAACGCAGCGAGTTGGCACAGCAGTAGGGGGCACAGGTGGTGCATCTCAGTCAGTCAACCCATGGCAGCTGGGTCTGTCTCGTGACCTGTCAGCGAGCCGTCGACACTTCACGTGGCCTCAAAGTGCACCTTGCCTGGCACAAGCGCCGTGATGATGTCACCTCCACTGAGTGGCGCAAATTGGTTGTTGTTGTGTTGTTGTTGTGTTGTTGTTGTGTGTGGTTAACGCGCTACTTTGCGAACCCGGCGACCCGAGCGAGGTTCGAGTCCGGCTCGCGTCCAGTAAGAGCGAGGCGAATAATCGAATCGTTCCTGGCCCCCTGCCCCTTAGGTCGACTCAGCCTCAAATTAATACCTGGCGTGGCACGTAAACATCAGCATTGGCCGTCGATCGCCGTGCCGGCCTTAATAGGTGCTCGCGAACAGCACTTGCCCCAACAACCTTTGCAGGCTATATGGGCGGGGGGCTTTCCTAGAGCTTTCTTTCTGCTGCTGACCTTCGACCTTATGATCCAGATCCGTGCTCGCCGTGCTACGTTGACTTCCGGTTTTGCCGAACGATTACGTCACAAGGCCGCTCTAATTACACGCAAGGTGCTTGCTACAAATGAACCGCAGGTACCTCGCTGATCTCGGCAAGGAGCGTAGACCACCAGCACGCGAAGCTCCGGCTCAGCCATCGAGCAGAGACGGGTGGTCACGGCGTCGCGCGCGTTCAGATGCGGCGCTTCTGCGGCCGTCTGGAACGCTCTTTCCTTCCGATTACGAGGAAGCCACTGGAAAGCTATGGCACCGTTTGAATCGAGGTCGAACAGGAATTTCTTTCAGAACTGCCGTTTTATGTTTAGTCTGTTGTCATTACCCCAGCACCTCCGGTTAGCGCGGTTGGCTACGTGTGGTGCAAAAGAGGTTCAACCGGTGCCGGATGAAGCTAGTGCGGGGCCTGTAGCATATGTTATGAAGGGGCCCTAAATAAATAAATAAAACCCCGTAAATATTAAAAACACATTTTTTACTTGCACCGTGAAGTAATTGTATTTTTGTTTACTTGTTATACAGCCAGAGAATACGACAAATCGCTAACCTTAAACACCCGGTCGTTCATAAAATTTGAAGGCAGTGTAGTACTATAGTAATATAGCAAGTCCCAGAATCACTGAACCCGAATTGATAGCTTGAAAACATTTAACGCGGGGCCCTTGAAAGTGCGGGGCCCGTAGCATGTGTAGCTACTTTTGCTACTAGGATGATTGGGCACTGGGTTCAACACTGACGCATCAAAGCCACCAACGGCGCTCCGGTGCCAGAACTGGTGCCAGAATTGGTGACAGAATTGGTGACAGAATTGGTAACAGAACTGGTGACAGAATTGGTGACAGAACTGGTGACAGAACTGGTGACAGAATTGGTGACAGAACTGGTGACAGAATTGGTAACAGAACTGGTGACAGAATTGGTGACAGAATTGGTGACAGAACTGGTGACAGAATTGGTGACAGAACTGGTGACAGAATTGGTGACAGAATTGGTGACAGAATTGGTGACAGAATTGGCCCTTTTCTCTCTCGATCTTTCCCCGCCAAAAGCTTTGATTGTGGTCGAGCCCGATCTGACCAATGCCTTACGATGGCGACTCCTGCACATCATCGACTATTGACGTGATGCAATGCGGTGACGCTTGAGATCGGGGGGGGGGGCATCCCCCTCCCCCCGGGGGCCACCCCCCCCCCCCAAACTTTAGCGAACACGGAAGGCATCTGATCCGTCAGCCTAGCACCTGCGTGCCTCCACGGTATTTCATCTCCGGTTAGGGTTGTTGGGGGGCGCCTGTGGCCAGGAAAGTCACAAAATTTGCACACGAACGACGCATTCCCGCAAGCACCCGATGCTCCGTCTAGAAGTTTTGTCTTATATTGTTATACTGTTCATCATAGAAAGAAAGATAAAGTTGTGCGCTTACCAACGCAATGGAACGTCTGTCCCTGCGACTTGTTGATTTGTGATAGCGTGTGCGGGGAGAATTGGAAATTGTCGTCGTCGCAAAACAAATGGCAAAGTCGTGTCGGTGGGGGCCAAGTCGATTCTGGGAATCAACACCGAATCGCCTCGTTCTGCAGATCGATTCCAACGTAATCGAACGTCCGTCCGTGCGCCTCCGCCGTTCAAAGCCACGCGCCCCCTGCATGAAAACGACGGCACGTGCAGCGTTCATCACAGATCAAGTTCGGCGTTCATATAGATAGAAGATAGATTATTATTATTATTATTGGCTTTTTGAAATTCGTCTCGTGTTTTTCTCTCTCTCTCTCTCACTCACTCTCATGTTTCTGCATTGCCTGCACGAGAGCGGTGACCTCAGACTAGTCGCCGTCGCAAACGAACTCCCTCGAGCTCCCACCCAGCCTCACAAAGCACTTCGGCACGTGACTCCACGCCCCCCCCCCCCCCCCCGCGTCCCCCCCGCCCCCCCAACCACCGCCCCCCCCCCCCCACCAGGACCGCTCGGGGGTCTTCGGCTCCACCCCGGCGCTCAACCGCGAGTCGCGCACCCTCTCGCAGCGGCTGCCCAACTTCCCGAGCGACGACGCGCCGAGCCGCTACCACTCGGCGCGCCGTCTGCACCACGTCTCGGCGCGCCACGCGCCGCACGAGCGCGCCGCTCACCACGCCGGGGGCTCCCTGCTGGGGGCGCCGGGCTACGGCGGGGGCGGGGGCGGCGGCGGCGGCGGCGGCGGCGGCAGCGACCGCGAGCGTCGCGCCGGCCGCATGTCCCTCCGCTACCCCGGCGAGACCTACGGCTCGACGCCGGCGCTCGACCGCGGGCGGCTTCCTCCGCGGTCCACCGGCGGCGGCGGCGGCGGCGGCGGCGGCGCCGGCGTCGGATTCTCGTTTGGGACGCTCGGGCGATCCGCGTCATCGGCCCTGCACCACCAGCAGACCGCGGTAGTTGATGATGAGCCGATGGCGCCGGCGTCTTCGTCGCACCACAGCGACCAACCGACAGGCGACTCGTCGGACGACCACGACGGTCCCGTGGCGCAGCACGGGAAACACCGGGCCCAGCCGCCCCCGCCGCACCACCATCACCAGCAGCAGCAGCAGCAGCAGTCGACGTCGGCGTCGTCGTCGTCGTCGCAATCCAAGTCGGGCAAACAGCGGCGCGGTTTCCTGGCGCGGCTGTCCCTGGACGAGGAGGCAGAGTCCGAGCCGGGCTCCTCGGGGGCCGGGCCACCGCCGCCGCTCCCTCCGCGCTTGCCGGCGCGCTCCGGTTCGGGCTCGGGCCGGCCGGGCGGCACCATGACGCCGGACCGCGTGATGGCACGGGCGCGGAGGGCCGAGGCCCACCTGGGGTCTACGCCGTCGCTCCACAAGGGCTGGGCCGAGCGAGGTGGCGGTGGCGAACGCGTCGGGTTCGAGCGAGTCGGCGGCGCTGGCGGAGGTGCCAGCACCACGGGGCGCGTGATGAGGATGCAGAGCGTGCGGGAGGTCGCGCGCGGAGACAACTACCGCACGTGGAGCCTCTCGAACACGGCGGCCAAGCGGCAGGCGTTTGCCGGTCGCCGGCACATGACGCTGGAACACCTCAACTACGTCGGCCCGCACGCCGCCGTGACCCCCTCCTCGTCGCAGCTGCAGCTGCAGCAGCAGCAGCAGCAACATCATCATCAGCACCAGCAGCAGCAGCAGCAGCAGCCGCATCAGCATCAGACGATGTATGGGCTGAGCAATGAGGTTACAGTGTGACAATGACGATGGTTGTTGTGGTGGTGGTGGTGGTGGTGGTTGTGTTGACGGAGTACGATTGCAGGGTGTGGGAGGGGGGGGAATTTTGAACACGCAATTTTACACTCCACAGGCATGGAAATGTCAAGTGGAGAAAACGAGAGAGAGAGAGAGAAAGAGCCATGCGGAAATCAACAACAACAATCAACGACCAACTTGGAGCATGAACTGTGCCGATTTGGGTAACTGTGTCAGGATTTTCGATGTTTACCTGTGACGTGCGCGCGTTCGCGCGTGTGGTTTTAGGGGCGCGACAAGGACGTGCCCTCGCTCCTGCAGGATTCAATGCCCCTTGCTGATTGATGACGCGGTGCGAGAAAGCCCCCCTCTCTGTACCAACGAGGCTCCCCGGTCCCCGCACAGGCCATCATCAATGCCATCGCACGTTGATGACGCCCTCCAGTAGAGCCCGAGTCGAGGTTCCCCAGCCGGCGATCTGATCGCTACGCCCATGCTAAGGAGACCTTGGGGACGCTACTCATGAATGTCGAGCCGGCCACACAGAAGCAGTATCTTACCGTCGTGCCCCTCTCCCACTACAAGAGAGAAAATACCTCCCTGGGTACTTTGGATTACCGTCTAACTCCCCCCCCCCCCATTTTACGGGCGCCACGGTGGCTAGGAGATGTTAACTACCTCGCCTGGTATACAGGAGGTTGTGGGTTCGATCCCGACGCTGTATATTTGGAGTTTGCGTGTCACTCTCCCCGTGGTCGCGTGGATTGGTTTTTCCTTCCACGTTTACAATCAACATCCACGCGTTTAGAGCATTCGGCTGCTGGAAATGTCCACGCGATGGGCCCACTTCGTTGAGCTGTCATCTGTGTGGCCAGGTCGCTTCTGAAAAAGAGCTACACATAGCTCAGTGGATCCTTACCCGGTAAAAAAAACACACACAAGCGTATCGTTTTAGTTTAGTTTAAATACGATGACGGTTGAGGAGAGGATGGAGGGGTTCCCGTACTTCGGCAGGGTGCTCATTGGCCATCTCCCCGGGGATTGGTGGCAGAGGTCTCACTTCACATCGGTCAAGCGGCATTGTCGTTCTCATCGGCTGCGTCAACGCTGCGTTGGAAATTGTCCCCGCCTGTTTGCTCCACGCGAGTCTCCCCCGGTCTTGTGGACCACAGGCATGCCCTCCTTGCTCTATGCTCGCAATATGTGGTCCCCGTTACGGGAAGACTTAGCAATGCAAACCAGTTTAGAGTGTAGGGTAGAAACATTCACCTGGATACAACGGCATCTCCAGATGCTCCACTGGGGTTTAACATTTAAGGCTGACCCTGCCTACGATCCATCTTGGGTTTAACCAGACTTGGATTGTGTGAGGAGCTCACGGATCCTTGAAAGATCTGGACACAGACCCAGCGGTGAACTCCTCCGACAGGCGAGGCTGTGTTGGCTGGGTCATGTAGACCGCATGCCCAGCCACCGCATGCCCAAGCAGCTTTTGTTCGCCGGATCGAGGGGGCTAAACGGGCGCGGCACGGGCTAGAGAAGAGATGGAGTGATGTGGTACAGGAGGATGTGGAGCTGAGTGGACTTGCCGATGACTGGTACCAGCGGTGTCAAGATCGGCCTTTGTGGAGGAGGCTCATGAAGGACGCTACTGGGCAGTTCAAGGCATGATCCTCACTACAACGAGCAGAGAAAGCCGGGGCGATTAAAACGCAGCGTGTTCGGACGGGTAGTTAATCTGCGAGTGGCCTCAACAAGTTCACTCATCATATGTGTCTAGCGTAGAACCTCCTGCCAGCGAGCCTTCGCGACTTCACATGACCCCAAAGTGCACCTAGCCTGGCACAGAGGCTACAGCGATGTCACACCACTAGGTAGTGATGTGTGTGTGTTTGCGTGTGCTGTATACACACACACAGTAATCATCCAATGAATATGTGTACGTGTGTGTGGGTGTTGATATATACAGCGACATTGGTGGCGACAATGCACTACGATCCTAGTTTGATTTCCAGATAGCATTCACAACATCTGTATGAATTTTGAATGCGGTGTGCATGTGTCTATTGCATATTGTCGTGTGTTGGTGTATGGTGCGTGTGTGATGTTTGCTGTGTGTGTATGCTGCGTGTGACGTGTGTGATGTATGGTGTGTGCAGTGGCATCACTAGGGGGGTGTGGGGGGTGCGGACCGCACTGGATGACAACTTCAGAGGTGGCGAGGGGTGACACCAAAGTGACTATAAACAATTTTTGTGCAGTGTTTCTGCAGAAATGTATTTTTATTTATAAAAAAATATATATCCCTGTAGTTAGTTATAACAACAAAAACATTTTTCGTAAGTCCAGCTTACACGTGTTGTATCAATATACCTACAAGGCTCATACTCTGTGCTAATTTACTTCTTGAACCTTCTAATGGTGCTCCGGGTCAGAGCCGTCATTGTTACCTAACGACAGTGACGCTTCGAGTCACGTGGTTTCGTCTGCACGCACTACGAGCACGTGCTGTTGTGTTCGTCGCTGCTGGCCTTTTTATAGTCGCTGATTTTGTCAAATTTTCTGGTGTTTTAGCCACAATATCGTGGTAATTAGTATTTGTGAACCTATCTCAATATTTTTTTTGAGAATGAAGTAGTAATTAAAGGAAAAGGAGAAAAATGTAAAAAAGGATTCCGCTCCATTACTAATGATGTAACTAATAATGTTGCAATTTAATGTAGAAAGAATTTACGAAACAATTTTGTTAGTATTCACATAATCTAAGAAATATTAAATTTAAGAAATTTACAACCACATCACATATTAGTCCATGATTAATATTGATAATAAACTTACATGGAGAACAATTGAAGCAATTGGCGGGACCCCGGGGTCCCATCACTGCCCCGGGGTGGGAAAAACCGCGTAGCGACACGAGTCTTGCTGCCTTACCGACAACAAAACTGGTGTCAATTGATTGGCCTCGTCGAGAGCTACTCGGGGCACTAAGTTTCGTAAAAAGTTGAAAAATTACATAAACACGTTAAATTCACCGCCTGGGGGGCGGCGGGGCTCGTCTTGGAAGCTGAGGATCGACGGCTGACCGGAGGGCATCGACGGCTGACCGGAGGGCATCGTCGTCGCCGCGCGCGACTGCGGCGGACGCCCCCCGGGGCTCGCGTTTGTCCGGTGGGGTGGCGCCCGTCGTGTTGATCGCCGCCTGCTGCTGGCGCTTGTTGGTGCGGCGAGTCTGGGCGGGCGGCGCGTTGCTGTCGGGATCACGTAGTGGGCGGACTGAAAAATAATAAGTTTTGCGGGACCCCGGGGTCCCGCCAAAGGATTCAATTATTGATTATATAAATCTTTGATAACTAAATAGAGAAATTGACAATTTAAAACATGAAGTGGGGGGGGGGGGGGACTGCTATGTTTGTTGATCCATGTTTAGAAATATAACTTAAAATATTTGTTTTATTTTAGTCTTTTTTTAAATGTATTAAAAACATCACTGTCTTGGAAATATATATCTGATTTTAACGTAGTTCTTAGATGTTTTTACGTTTTGTACTTCGAATTTTATTGTTTTATTACTGTTTTTTTCATTTTAATCACCTGAAACTATGTAAAAGTAAATACATTTAGGCTATACTTATATTGTAATTTAAAGGTGTCATTTTAATTTTCTAGTTGTTTATGTCATTACTATTGCCATTACATTCAGTGATATACGGGAAATACGATTTACGAGTAACATTAGTACAAAAAACATTACGAAGGATTGTGTATGGTCTGGTACGGGAGGAGGTCCATGGGAGGTGACACCGTGAGATACCGTACTGGGTGACAGCAACCCTAGTGACGCCACTGGGTGTGTGTGTGTGTATGCTGCGTGTGGCGTGTGTGTGATGTTTGGTTTGTGTGTATGCTGCATGTGGCGTGTGATGTATGGTGTGTGCGTGTGTGTGTATGCTTTGTGGTAGTGTGTGTGTGTAATGCCTCGCGTGGGCTTTCCACAAATTTATTTGGGTGTTTTTCACATCCAGACTTTTCAGTCAATTCACAAACAAGAGGATGTCTGGCACACGCAACGTGACAGTTGGCCTTTCCTTCAATGGAGTTTTATTCTCCTTAGAATTCGGCACAATATATCATCGTGACATTTGGGAAACGTCCTCTGCTGGTAACTTTCGACCAAACATTATTAATAACCCTTTCGTAGCCATTCCTCTCCCTACCAATAACCCTCTAAAGCTCCCACTAGCGAAGGAGCCTTCAGCCAGCAGTGGCGTGAGCGAGCAATTGTAGGGCTGCGCCGCTTAGCTTTTCCACAATTCCTTTCAAAATGAGTCCCACGCAACGTTTGATCGCCTCCCCCTCTCCACGACCCCCACGTGCGACTAAAAATCACGCGACCACGCTGCGAGAAAGCAGGTGCCGTATTCTGAACACACAAACTCGCAGAGGACACACGCACGCACAACACACATCGCGGCCCTAATGTTTAGTCGCCTCTGCGTCGATTATAAAGGACGTCAGATTATTATTATTATTTTTTAAAAGGACTTCAGATGTTATTTCGGATTTTCGGGTAATTTTGCGATTACAGAACCGCGCCTTCGTGCTAACGAACGTGGCGTCGCCCGGAAGTGACGTCACGTCACCTGACGTCACAGTCTCGGACAAATCCGAGACAAAATAAATAATCTGAAATGTCCGATCCCGGCTACATTTTGGGGTTAGTTCTAGAATCGGAAACATCCATCCTGAGTGTATACTGCTACTACGCAGTACACTTTTGCATGTAATAATACATTCAGAAAGACCTGTTTGGTGAATTCAAATGGACGTTAAATGTCTTTGTTCTTTCGGTGGTGCGCGGGTGCTCAACAAGCTTCAAGGCACGGCACATGCAGAAATTGGCTGCCTCACACTTCAATTGCTTTCGCCAGACATGTTTCATCTGAGGTTCGACACAGCAGCGGTTCAGCTTTCATCAGGGCACAATTCCAGGCATTCGTGTTGATCTCTCACACACTTCCTATGAAGGCATCCGTAGCCAATCACAGTGACCTAACATTGCCTATAGAGGCATCAGTAGCCAATCACAGTGACCTAACATTGCCTATAGAGGCATCAGTAGCCAATTACAGTGATCTAATACTGCCTATAGAGGCATAAATAGCCAATCACGTAGGTCGCACACACTGGCGATGAAGGCTTCAATAGCCAATCACGGTAATCTAACACTGCCTATGGAGAAGACTGTGCTATCGACGTCATGAGATGACACATGCATTCGTGTTGGCCCACAGAAGTGAGTAACACAGAACTACCTCTGAGAGCCCTTCAAGTGACCTCTGGAT